GCCAGCCGAAAGCCGTCCGTTGCGTCGGTCGAATGAAGTGGTGGGGGTGCGGGACTGGCCGGTGCATGCTCGCCATTGACTCGATGCCAACCGGGGTCCTTTTGATGCATCCAGGTCACAATTGGTTGCACCATCCTTTGAGCGGCGTAAGAGGTTGTTTGGCGAGGCTGGTAGGGCTACGCATTGTATGACGTTCAGTGCATTCCATTTCACCCTTGTAGTCCGCCCTCCTGCTTTTGTCGAGCACTTCATGCGGATAAACACTTTGACACCGTAGTATTCGCATTTGTGTTGCCAGCTGGTGATCATGGCCTCTCGAACAGTAGGAGCCGCCTTTTGTTCCGCTATGGTGGCAGGTGGTCGAACGCACAATCATAGCTTTTCGGCGTTGCGCTGTCTTTGGGTGTTGCACAGCCTCTGAACTCCCTGGCTGGCATGCTCGCTCGATTAAGTTGACCGCCACATCTCTCTCAACTACAACTTCTTGACAGGCCGAGACAGGCCGACATGCGGCCACGGTCGATGCGCATGGTCAACGCAGCACAGCATCTCGGAGAAATCGGGCATACCCGTAAGAGCTCACAAGTCACATCGACAGTCTTGTTCAACGTCGCGAGTGGGCAGAGGAGACCATTCGAGACGGAACTCAAGTAATGGCTGAAAAGGTGTGCCGCAAACTCGGCAATGGGCGCCGGAGCAGCGCCCTGCGGCATTAAACTCTTTCATTGTCGATTGTTGAAGTATCGTTGGTAGGCGCAAAGAAGTGCGAAGTCAGGCTGAAGGATTGATTCTGCTGTTGAAGATACTTGCCAGCCGGATTCACTCAGTCCCGTAAGTGAATTACGTCGCTGTGAGGTGTCATTGTGTCCTATGCAGCCTCGGCGTTCGTCACAGAAAGTGATCTGCGGCAAAGCGGATGCGAGCGCCGGTGCGCCTTCCGCATATGCCTTGTTGTCAGACACGAGCATCGGTCGATCGGCTCGACGGTCTTCTCCGCCGTCTTTGAGGCGCCGGGTTGATCGTCCGAGAGCATTTAAGGAACGGCTACTTTGTGCTTTCTTGTTCTAATTCCCTTCCATTCGCATTCCTCGTCACTCAAGGCAAGATGGTCTTTCTGATGACTCTGAAGCGCGTTCTTGCGGTCGCCCTGCTGGTTTGCGCCGCAGCCAACGTGGCCAAGGCAACCGTTCTGCCAGACGCCGAAGTCATCTGGCGACCAGGTGTCGACGTCGGCAACGCGATCTACGATCTCGCCGAAAGACTCGTGAACCGAGCTCGAAGTCACCCAGACAGTAAGCCTCTAGCTCCTTCCTTCGGCCCCGTGCTTACGTCCATACCGACATTTCGGCTGACCGACATTCGTGTATGTGGGTTTTGTCCCAATGTTCAGTCTTTGCCGCACCTCCTCGAGACGCTGTAGTTGCGTTCTTCAACTCCATGGAGCGCCAGGGCCGTACGCGTAAGCTCCAAACCCTTCTGTCGAGCTTATGGAAGTGAAATCACGACTCACTGTTATCTTTGTGCTTTCGGTTCAGGGGAACAATTCGACATCGTGGGCAGGGACTGGAACCAGTGGTTCCACACTTATCGTCGCCGTGTCATCGCCACTCACGCACGAGCAGGCGAAACGTGGGCACAGGGAGATCAACTGCAGCAGCACCTTCATACTTGGGCTCAACGCACCGCTCGACAGCTAGGCATTCCCCACAACGGCCCGAGGCGGGGCTAAAGTCGTGTCGGAGGACGTAGCAGCGAGACCAACCCTTTGTCTGAACTAGCTGAATCCATGCAATCGACAAAAAGCTGACTCCAAGTGTGAGTCGATGCTCGACCCCTTTCTTAGGATGCAAGTTCGGCATCTTTGGCGTGAATGCGCAGCGGCTCAAACGGCTAGAACATTGGAATGAAGTGCGGTGGTTGCAGCGGGACCAGAAGTGGGCTAGTTGCCTCATTCCAGGGGCGCAAGGGTGGGCACCAAATGAGAAAGGAGTGTGTCGTCAATGTTGTGGTGGGTCATGCCGCTGCGGCTGCCCCACTTTGCCTGATCTCATGTGCCCGGTTCCCGCTAACGTGCTCCCACCCCTGCTGTCCAATTTGGCGAGACCGCTGTGAGATGGGAACGTTCGTACGGATAAGTAGAGCGACCTCGTGAGCTCCATCAAAAGCACATCCCCTCATTCAGATCTCTCCGAGCCTCTTCAGCAAATCGAACATGCACTTTACTTCTCTCGCCGCATTTGCGCTTCTCTCGCTCGCCGGAGTTCAGGCCCAGAGCTGGCCAGCTGGTCCCCCCACCACCGCGGGCCTCCGGGAGAGCGAGGCGCTAGTGTCGAGCTTTTGCTCCGGTCCGCCCAAAGGCAAAGAAATGGCATACGCCTGCTTCAAGATCAACGGCGACATTCGCAAGCACATGTTCAGTCCCAAGAACGTGATCGGCTATTACAACAGGGCGGGTGACACGTTTGTGATTCTGCAGCAGCCTGGTGAACAGTCCTTCAGCACCGAGATCGACCTAGTCACCATCAACGCGCCCCTCAAGCCCCGCTGCCTCGACGTTTTGATCGAATGGAGCACGCCTATTACGAAGAATGAGGCCAGGATTGACTCCTCTTACCCGAATGCTTGCCCAGGCTCAGCTCCGATTCAGCTCCACATTAAGTGATCTCGGGGCGTCACTCCCTCGACGCACTTTGACACGAACGCCCTTCTGTAAAGTGTCCTATGCGATTTCGAGACTGTCTTGCTCGCTTTGCTGCCGTGCTCCAACGCCGTTGCCATGCGAATACGAATACACCTTGTGCTCTTCATGCTCTCCTATCACCTTGGCTGCCCGTTCTTGGTATCCACTTCATTTGTGACTATGAGACACGTCAGTACGCAAATCTTGTCCAAGAAGCAGTGTCAAGCCCTGTGACTACGGGTCTGGCCCGGGTCAAAATGGACACAGTGCCACAATGAGGCTTGGAATCTGGTAATGGATCGAGCAAGGCGGAGCTTTTTATTTAGCCAGATCTACGGGCAGCGCACTGCTCGTAGATCGCGATCTGGGCTCAGCTGTGATTGTCAGAGCAGACTCCTGTAGTGAAGTGTCTCCTCTTTTCCTCTTGACGTTTCACCTTTTCTTGCTTGTGAGTTACGAGGTCGTTTGTGCACAGCAGCTTTCGCTCCAGGCCGTGTAGCTTGCTGACGACTCCCGACCCAACTTCGACTCTTTGCTGCGTCACGCTCAGTATTGGCAGCCTCGCTGCTTTCCCGATCAAGCGAACATTCGATAGTCCAGCCACCTTCTATCGTCCATGGATTGGATCACAGCTGTACCGTTCACAGTCGTGTTGCACAGCCGTATCGCACTGAAGCCAGCAAAGCTACCATTACGGTGCTCCATTCACTGAAACATGTGTGCCGCTTCTTCTAATACGTACAAAGAGGCATAAGAACTCGGGTCGCTGGCTTTGGTCATTGTGTCCAAGTGCGCCAGTACTTCTGGGGCATGCCTCGAGTCAAAGCCGACGACTCCATATAGAAATGTGGTGTACCTCTGACCGTCAAAAAGGAGCGGAGACCAGAGCGACATGAGGTGCATCTTTTGCTTGATCCCGGTGATGCTGTGAATGTGCTCCAACGTGTATTCGGAGCCGATGTGACGGACAACGAGGAGCGGTAATCCGTGTTGAGTGCGTGGAGGAAAAAGAACGTGGGTGTTTCGAAAGGCGTAGATCTTGTTGAGGCTGTTACGGGTGAGACCATCAATATGAATGGGCAGGGGTCGAGCATGGCCCAGGAAGTATTCGCGATTGATGTAGTCCATGTTTCTGCGACTGTTCAGGTAGACGTATACCCTGTCTCTTGCTTTGGCCTTTTCCAGGTTATGTTCCACTTTGCCGGGAGGTACTTTCTTTAGAAGGAGTCTCCCGGACCACCTCAGTACACGTTCTGACTCAGTCAGAGGAGGATGGTCAACGGTGTCCAGGTCTTCGGCTACAAAGACCTGGTCTTTCGCCGAATCCGAAACGTCAACAGGGGAGATCCTCAGGGATGGACGTCCAGTCGCCCTTCGCATATTGGCCAGCCACTTCTCCCACTCCCCTACATCGTCCCGGAATATGGTGTTTGCCCTGTCGAGCTTGTATAGACCGTTCTCTATCATCGAGCGGCCAACATCCTCTCCGAACCATGCGTAAGCAAGCGGTGCCCTTGGGTTGCTTGGGATCCGGTGAGGCTTCGTGACAAGAGGCTGCGAGGAGGCCGGTGCGTTCAAAAGGCTCGTAGAACCGGTCTCACTTTCTGAAGTGACGATCGGTGCTGCTGCAGGTTGAACTGGAGCAGCGCCCTGCCCGTGCAAGATCGGGGACCGCTGTTCGGTAGCATCCAGCCTTGGTTCTGACCAGATGGGCGATTGACGGGGGCTTTCGAAGCTAGTGCTCTGCATTCGGGAATTGTGTGAGGCATGATACCCAGGGTCTTCACTCCGACCTCCATGACTCCCGCTCGAGCTGGCAGCGAGATCACGATTCAGCCATGCAGCAGGATTTTGCCCCCAAAGTCCGCCATCTCTAGCGCCGTGACCAACGATTTCGCCAATATCCCATCCTCCGCCACCAGTAGGTGAAGCAGGAATAGCAGAGATAAAGAGGATGGTGAGGAGAGCGCCAAGCTGGCACCTGAGACGCCAGGATAGCTCCATATCAGAAAGCAAAGAAAAGATGGGCTTCTTCTTGCTGAAAGGACGAGGTCTTGAGATTGTGGGTCAAGGCGGGTTCCTGACTCAGGCGGAGGGCTTCCTTTTGACCCACGGCGCTGACTCGAAAGCCATAGTCGCCTTCCCTTGGCATGACATGGGAGACACAGCCGGCATTTCTGCTCCCGGACCAGCAAATATGGAAAGATTTCATGTCGTTCTCACGCCACCGATATCGTCTGTGCAAACAAGGCTCCTTCAGCCTCGGTGGTACGGTACTGTACTTGTGCTTGTTGGTCCTCGCTTATGGTAATCGGCTTCGAGATGCTGCTGTCTGTGATTAAGCTACTTGATGCTCTCTTTTTACATTGACTTTGTAGCTGTGACATCTCCCCTTCGCCCTTCGGTTTTGTATGAACTTTTGCAGCATAACCGAGCCTCGCTGCCTGTTGCCTGAGCGATTGAGGTCATTCTCTATAATCATTGAATGCCACCATACTCCTCGTTTTTGACGTTCAGAGTAACAGTCCAGCAGTGGGCTTGCTTGAGTGGGAGCAAAGTGATGAGAAGACAATGAAATTTGCTGCAGATGAGATTTGAGACCCACCATGGCGGGGAGGGTGGGATCGATGACCCGAGGCGGAAGATTCATTCTTGCAACCTGTGGCGCGAAGAGACCTGCACCTCTTTGTTCTCGCTCAAGAAACGATTAAATAGCAGCTCGATCCGAGCGTCCGCTTGCCAGACGACGTCGCTGTAACCTCGCCATACTTCCATTTCTTCGCCGCTACTCATCTTCAAGCATGCAGCTCATCAAGTCGATCGCACTTGTGGCCGTGCTGGCCGTCTGCTTCGTCCATGCCACCATCCTGAGCGATAGCGTGTCGCTCTTGGAGGCTCACGTCAAAGACGCAGAGACTTTGGCTTCCCAGAAAGCAGCCTTTGTTCGAATGGTCGGTGCGTATAATCTCAGGCAGGAGATCATACGATATGCAGTCCTGGCTTTCATTACGTCAAATGGCTATTCACATATGTGCTCAACCACGAATCCTTTTGTGAACATCCCTTTCGCTTTCCTCAGACCGCTACTATCGCCCAAGCGCCAAGGCGTTCTGGACTCAGCACGCAGTCCCCCGAGCTGGTAAGGACAAAGCAGACAGAGCTAGCGGCTTGCAGGCACATCGACTGACGCTTGAATCTTCTGCCTTTGAACGGGCACTCCTGATTGAAAAGCTGCCGGCCTTGAGACTACGGGAAAGCACTGGAACGAGTACATCAGGCAGCCTAGATTCTGATCCAGCCTCGAGCTGGGCCCATTCTAGCGACCCGAGGTCTTTGCTGCATTGCTCAAGATCTACCGCTGCGCTCGTCATTTGTACAGCCCTCAATTTTGTGATCTCTGAGGTCATAGGCGCCCTGGCTCCTTCGTTCGAATCCTATGTTTCAGGTTTAACCCAGCATGTTGACCTCGCTGAGACTTGATTGCAAAGAATGTTCGCTCTGTCTGTGCTTACTTGATTCTCGGCACTTGATGACAGGGCAAGGCTGGAGCCTACGAGACAATGGCGTATCCCGACGGGATGAACTAAATCCAAGAAGCGAGCTTCCTCGGAGCTATTGTCTGATGTGCGCTTCTTCGGTGCTGGCCTCGCTGTCAGTGAATTCGCCGAGTGCGTAGCGCCACCCCATAGCGCCACTCGGAATGAACCGGTGCCCTCAGCCACAAGGGTGGGCTGGCGGCCTGTTTCGAGCCCACGTGGGTTGCATCGACCCCTGGCCACCCCTTTCGACGCCACACGAATGGCTGATCTACGATTCCCAGGATTCCGCAACCAGAAGAAACCGGATGAACCGTAGTGGATTGGACAGCTAGAGGCTTCATCTCCCTGATACCCCCTACAATAGTGTCATAGACAATGTGAAAAGATGCGTGCTTTCGCATACAAAGCCGACGGCTGCGAGGTATAGAAGCTGACCCGAAGAATGCCCCTCTCCCCTAGAAGGGGGAACGAACCAAATTACTCCCCTACCCATCTTCACCATGTTCGGACACGCTCGTATCCTTGTGTTTCTAATCCTCGCCGCGACAAAACTGACTCTCGCCGTCAAGCTTCCCGAAGGTGAACTCCTTTGGCGGGCTGGAATGGATCTTCATGATGCACCAAGCCGACTGGAGGAGAAACTTCTCGTCAAATCTTATTCAGAGGCTTTGGGGCGTCCAGGAACATCGGGACGTAAGTGGATCCAGGCTTGACTGCGTCGATCTCCCCATGAATACTGATACCCGTGGACGATGGCTTGTCGTTTATGTCCTGCAGATGCATCGGGGCTCCCCGCAGATTTGGCTGGTGCATTCTACCGAAACATGGAGCGAGAAGGCCGAATTGGTGAGGAGCGAAAATACGTAGGTCTCTGCATGCTCGTGACATTGTAAGCTGACCTTGTTGTTGCGCTGTATATTCCTCGAATCTCAGGGGAGGCAGGTCGCATTCAGGGCTCTGACTGGAATCGTTGGTTCAGACGCTATCGGGCGGAGAGAATTGCACAGGCCGCACGAGAGGGCCATGGATGGGCTCGGCAACAGCAAAGTTATGAGCGCATTGCGAATGTCGCCGGTCACCTCAACCCCGGCCTCCGTCGCGGTGATACTGCCGCATAGATATGCACGCAGCGCCGGACACACACTATTGCAGCTACTTCGATGACGCTCGTATCGCCAGAATGATGCAACACGATATAGTACAGTGCTGCTTTGCAATGCATATTTCATACGCGGCCCGGAGCGCTATAAGGTCACGGCTGTAGCCATAGGTCTGATCGGCCTCGCTAAGCACAGAGCAATGCGCCCGTTCCTGTCACAATCTTTCAACAAGCTGCAGAAGATTCAATTCCGATATTTTGACGTTCCGGGAGCATGCACGGCTCAAGCGCAAGCATCTCTGAGAGCCATGTCTGATACTTGCATGCTGCATGCCCGCACCGGCACCGTTGCATTCGGACTTCTTTCGGTCGGTTTTGCGTGTGCGATGCAGGGGCTCGGAGAATGGCAGCTGACAGGCGCGAGGCATTTCCTTCTGGTGCATAAGGAACTGCGTGTACAAGCTGAGAGGGATGAGGTGGCAAGTGGGGCGAAAGAGGGGACGGTCCCGGGCCGAGTTGGTTGCACCGGCCGCATTCTGCAAGGCTGTGAAGCATTTTAAAGGGCTCAGTCAGTCCATCTGCTTCCGGCTTGTCCTCAGCTTCTTCAACATCCTAGAACCAACTCTCGAGCAGCGCGACAAGATGCAGTTCCGTCAACTATTCGCCCTTCTCTGGCTTGCCCTTGTCGCTACCAGCATCAAAGCATACCTGATCGAGCCGACGCAGGTCGTGTGGGAAGCCGGAATGCCGATCGAGGACGCTATTGAAGCTTTGAAAGAGCATGTTGCCGAAGCCATGCAGTCGGACCGCCGTATGTATTTCTCAGCCAGCTGCCGAAGCTAGCAAATCTGGACTACTGATCAACAATGCGGGTGCGAATTGCCCTGTCGGCGAACAGGACTGAAAGCTCCTCACCTGGATGCATTTCCTCAGTTTTTCCGAGACATGAACCTGATCAACAGGATGTGTAAGTGATTCATCCTATAGATGCTGTGCAGAGTATGACGTATGATGCTGATCGACTGTTCTGCCACCTGTGGATTTGTCGGAAAAGCCGGACGGCGCGCTCAATATCCCATCACGGGGCTGGAGTGGAACGCCTGGTACGAGGGCGAGCTGAGACGCATTCATGCCGATGGGCAGGCTTACCAGCGCTCCGTTGCAGAGACCCACACCGCTGCCGCAAGGCTCCCACGAGATGGGCGTCTGCCTTAAACGTCAATTGTCTCGGACCAGTGTAACCTCGACAATTGGCCCTCAGGGCATCGACATTAATTCATGCAAGTTGGGTATCAGATCTGACTTGGACACGACGCATGGGATCATGACTTTCTCGTGCCTGCGAAGCTTGTCACGAGACTTTTACCATTCATCGATGACTTGTTACGTCGATCATTGAACAGCAGTGGATGACGGATGTTGCTTCGTCTCCATCGTGATCGCGATAAGGGTGTGGGCTTCTCAACGGAACTGCATGATGACATGAGGCAGGGCTGAAGGTGGGCATATTGCCGTACGAACACCACGCCGAACACGGTGAAAGATGGTCTGGATCGGCGAGTGGGAAGAATTAACGCTGTTCGACGCTTCTGCCCACAACGGTGCATGAGCAGTATCGAACGGGTGTAGGAGCGCTCCAGTCTCACCACGATGCATTGAGCGGCATGCAGGGGCGGTGAGATTCCGCGATATGATATGACACTGCGCTGCGCTGCGACCCACCTTCTCATGTATGCACCACCACGGCTTTAGGGGCCAGTGTTTGTGCTCACCAGCGATACGATGGCATCACATCACGAGCTGTACGTCTCCCACCTCATCACACAGGCTATGCCAGACGGATGATGCGATGTGGGTCGTGCCACATTGTCTTTGCCCCCATTAGGGTAGGCACGGTCATACACTTGACCCACTGAGCCGCAAAGAGCACAAGGGCTTTGTAGCCACCCGCTCTTCCAGGCTCGAAACCTATGTAGCACACACGCTGCCAGCAGGGACAGCTGCCTCTATATAAGCCTGGCCAGTGAGGACCTCCCCGTGCTGCTCTACTCATCGTCTCCGCCTACTTCTCCGACTCAAAAACATTCACGATGTAATTCTTCAACCCCAAGACCGCATTCTTTGCCCTCGCTGCTGTCGTGCTCATGGTGCAGTGTGCTGTTGCCCCCACGCTTTCGCCCACCCTGGAGCTGCTCGGTCCTCTTGTGCGAGAGGGCGATGGACCCGTGATTGCGTACAACGCGTTCCTTGCCAGGCTCAGTGCGTTGTTGTTTTTCTGTGCTATGCCATCCGAGACATTGCAGAACTGACTTCTTTCTCCTGCTTCGACCCTTGTTCTGCGCTTCGATAGGCTCGGAACATCACGGATTGGCCAAGAAGTTCTGGACCAAGTACGCCATTCCTCGCTACCGTAAGTCCCAATCGTCGAGGGGGCCCATGGCATCCAAGTATTGACGCCCATCTTTCGTGTGTTAACCTAGAACGGGGTCTGTCCACTTCGGGCTCGCATTGGAACGAGTACCTCGAACGACACGGTTGAACAGGCTCGTGAATCCACGTGGCGACTCGCGTGGCCATAGCTGATCGCCGCCTCTCCGCGCTCTTCGAAATGCCCGCACCGTGTTGCGATTTCTTCCCACAATTTCGGTGATCATATGAATATATGCCAAGACCGTCTCTCTGCCAGGACTGAGAACGTGATTGCATTTGAGATCGTCTGCCAAGATCCTCTCCATGCGGACACTAATTTGAGCTCTTCTGACAACCTCGTTCCGCCCAAGACGGTCTCAGGCTGGGCGGCGTGGCCAACGCCACAAAACATGAGATTCGAGGCGCAACCTCATATCGCACTGGCGCTGACGCAGTGTCTATGAAGGCAAGTACGACTCAGTGCAGCAGCCATGTAATCCGATGACCTCAAATGAATCTATCAACCCGAAGGGCCCTCTCCTAACTGCACTGTAAAGAGGTCGGTTGGCAGGCTGCACCTAACTCGTGAGGTCTGTGCCCCTCAGTTGGTACCAAATGAAATCCGCTGTGTACAGTAGGGTCATGACCGGTGCGAGATGGGTCATGACGCTAAGCCGCTCGACGTCGCGCAGGATCTTCATTTGCCGCGTCACCTCATGACGCGGATCACGCGGCTTGGAGCTTGGCGCATCATCCAATCGATGCTTGCTTCCCACCGACAAATGATTTGCCAGCCACAATCCGGGCGTCGGGCTGACGTGAGCCCCAACCTTCTTCCTGGAGGCTATTTCGCTGGAGCTCATCATCACTCGCATATAAAAGCTCGTCGCATGAAGTGCGTCCATCCCGCCAATGCCATTCCTGGTAGGGAGTTTCGAGATGCGCTTGGTTTGGGTAGGACTAGTCGTCCTGTGGTTGAAGTTGGTGGATGCGATGCAGTATCGCAATCAGCTCTACATTTTCCAGCGAATCGCCCAGGAGATGTATCCCACCCAGCGGGCCGAGCAGAAGGAAACAGTGGCTACGCTCAAGTACCTCTTCCGCGAGCCAGCTTGGCAAGACCGTGCCGCCTGTAAGTCTTCACACGCTCTACCTTTCGCAGGGCTCCTCTGACCTTGCTGTTGCTCTTCCGGGGTAGACAAGCCGATGGATGACTTTATCCGGACCGGTGGCCTGAAACACAATGTTTACAGTAAGTCCCCTCTCCACCACAGCTACAGAGAGTATGCCTGCTAACAAGCCTCGTGCGGAACGGTAGCGCGGGAATCTGTATCCGAGCTAGACATATTTGCGCACCTATACCATCAGACGGTATACGAAGATCTAGCCTACTCGCGGCCGGCCATGCAGACTCTGCGTCGACGACTGCTCAAAAAGGCCAAACGCCGGTTTGGGCTCGACGACAATCTGCTCGTCGAACCACCCGACCTTGGACGAGTCGAGGCTCCGGGTCATCTGCCTGGATTCGCTGCTCTCCCTCATCCCCTCACGCAGCACGAGGTGATAGCACAAGTGGGCGACGCACATAAGTACTCGCACCGCTTCGATGCCGAACACACCATCCGCGGCGACAGTCCGTCATCCTGAATCCAGCAATAGCACGCTTTGCACAAGAATTGCATCAGGGTATCGTATTGGCGCTCAGTTCTGGATGCGTTTGCGCTTGACGTCGATCTTGCGTGCGTCGACGCGGCCCTGCTCGAACGCCTGCGAGTCGCGCTTGTACGTCGTCTTGGCGCGCTTGCGCAGCTTGAGCCCTGAATGCTGCGACGCCAGGTAGTCGTCGGCGATCTTCTCGGCGTCCTGCCGGAAGCGCATCAGCTGGCCGGAAGAATGCCATCCCGCACCATCCGCGCCATTGTCCGCCTCGATTTTGGGCTCCAGCTTCGGCTTGATATCTTCCGACGCGGCGGCTGTGTCGAGATCATCGGTGAGGTCGATAATGTCGCGCTCCAGCGCCTCGTCAAAGTGCGGCTTGATGTCTTCGCCCAAGGCGCCGTGTGGATCGGAGCCATGCGCACCGTCGTCCATATCATAAAAGCGATCGGTGGCAGCGTCGTCGTCGTCATCGTCATAGTCCATGCCGTCTTCGAGCTTGGTATGCCCGAAAGCGCTAGCACCGTAACCCTCACTCCACCGCCCATAGCCGGCACCGTCCACATCGGACATTTCCTGCTTGACCCCGTTCCGGGACGGCTTTACGTCTTGTTCGTCGACCACATCTTCGAGCTTGACGCTGCGTGAGCCGGACTGGGACTGACTTGACAGATCCTCCGACGGCTCGGGCTTGACTGAGGCGGGCTGTGGTGGGTCTCGAAGCCGCTCCTTTTCCTTCTTGACTTGTGCCTGCTCGGTCTTGTGTGCGTCGTCAAGGCGCTTCTTTTCGGCCTCGATGGCGAGACGCATCTCCTCCTTTTTCTCCTTCTTTGCGAGCGCGATGAGACCGGCTGCGACGCCCTGACAGTAGGAGTTCTTGCCCGTCTTCCCAGAGACCAGCTTGGCGGCCGCCTTTTCGTAGGCCCACGTGAGCACCTGGTTGTGCACCATCTCAAATGCGTGTGCAGCAGCGACGGTGTTGACGGCGAGCCCGTAGAAGGTCCAGCTGAGGCGGCTGCGGTTGGCATACGAGGTGGAGTAGGCTTTCACGTCGAAGAAGAGGTTGACGGCGACGGCGATCTGGTTGGTCCAGCTCTCGTTGCGCGGGCTGGCGCTAGTCTGGGAGACAATCTCGACGATCGACATGCCTGCGCGTGCTTGATTTGCCTCGGCGTCGGAAGATGCGAGCAGATCGGCCTGTGTGAGATTTTGCGACGACATGAGTCGTGTGGCGAGACGCAGCGCTTGTTGCGCCTCGGCCTCGCCAGTGCCGGGATGCTTGGCGAGGGCAAGCGACTTTTGAATGCGCGAGAGGATGCCGGCGCTGACACCGGCGAGCTTGGCCTCGGACTCGGAGACGGAAGCGACACCGTCGGTGGCGAGAGTGGCGATTCTTGCGATGGCGTACAGCTTGTGCGCCGAGGGCCCTGGGGTTGCTGACGCGGCTCTGCCCTTCTTGACGGCTTTTCGCTTGCTGCCACGGAAGTCATCGTCGCTCTCTTCGCTACCATCGCCGTCGGCGCGGTTCGGTCCATCGGTGGCATCGGAGTCGTCGTCCTCGTATTTGAGCAGTGCTCGATCGGCGACCTTGCGCCTCGATCGGACAGGTGCTGATTTCGGCTCAGGCCTGGACGAGGGAGTGGGTGCGGCATCGTCCGAGTCGCACAGGTCAATGACATCGGGTTCAGGCTTCACGCGCGGCTTGACGTCTGCCACGTCCAGGCGCGATCGTGCGAGCGTAGGCATGGTCACCAGCCGCGGTTTGGACGTGTCTCTGCTGGTAGCATGTAGTTCTGAGGGAGGAAAGTGTGTCCGTGTTTGAGGGGACGAAAGCTGAGCCTGTTTGTTGCTGCAGGTGCGCCTTCAACTGCAAGGCGCGACAGGTGTTGTTCTCCCAAATCGGCCCTCGACTTTACGCGTAACTCGGCTCTGCCCAGAAAGCACGAGAGCGGACCCTGGCTCTTCGGCTTGGCCGCGGCTTTCTTTCGGCGTACAACTCGAGTCGGAGCCGAGGTGGTTGGTCATTTTTGATTTTAACCTTTCCCCACAAGAAATCCTACTTTTCCATGGTTGTGACGCTCGTACACGGCTGTGCCCTCTACCGTCACCGTCTTGCTACACCACTGCTGCTGTGCTGCCGATCGAGTGTTGGCAATCGATGAACCGCATTGCTCCTTTGACCCACCTTGCACGTACCTCTACAATCAGCACGCGCATCGCCACTTCATCCGCCAGAATGTCGACTTCCAACTGGGCCTCGACGCCGCCCATCCCTTCGGACAAGCGGCCGATCGTCCTCTCGGGTCCCTCGGGTGTGGGCAAGAGCACGCTGCTCAAGAAGCTGTTTGAAGAGTTTCCCAACAGTTTCGGCTTCTCTGTTTCTCGTACGTGCCTCGTCACCTTGCTTTAGGAATGCGCGATCCTGGCTGACCATGACGCTCTTGGCTTTTAGACACAACACGAGACCCTCGTCCCGGCGAGGTGCGAGGTCAATCGTACCACTACGTCACGCGCGATGAGTTCGAGGCGTTGGTGCAGCAGGGCGCCTTCCTCGAACACGCTCAATTTGGCGGTAACCGCTACGGTACGACCGCCAAGGCCGTTGCGGATGTGTCGACCGAGGGCGTCAAGGGAGCCGATGGCAGCACCGACGCGCGCCGCGCCATCCTCGACATCGACGCACAAGGCGTCAAGCTGATCAAGGCCAACCACCCATCGCTCAACCCGATCTACATCTTCATCTCGCCGCCCTCCTTCTCGACGCTCAAGCAGAGGTTGACGGGCCGTGGCACGGAAACCGCCGAGTCGGTGCACAAGCGCCTCACAATGGCCGCCAACGAGATGGAGTACGCAAGGCAAATGGGCGCGCACGACTGGATCATCGTCAACGACGACCTCGAACGCGCCTACACCCTGCTCAAAAAGGCCATCAACGAGTCCTTGCAAAAGGGCGACGACGACCAGATGCCAGCAAAGGACGACGAGGAGCAGCAGTGGCTCAGCCAGCAGTAACCACCTCCCACGCTTTTTTGCAAGACACGATTTTTGATTATCGACAGCCGCCGTTAAGTTTCCCACTGCTTGTCGGCATCTGTGAGAGGCACGTACAAGACGCCGCAAATCTTTCGGCTTGTGATGGTTCCATCGTGTGCCTTGTCGATCTGGTAGATGTTTTGCTCCCCCGAGCCATTCTGCTCCTCGACGGGGATAAACATCCTGCCCGGCGCCTTGAGTTGGTCCAGCAGTGGCTGGGGCACACCGGGGGCTACAGCTCCCACATGGATGGCGTCAAACGGCGCTTCTTCCGGAAGCCCCTTGCGACCGTCGCCGCAAATGTTGACGATCGATCCGTCATTGAGCTGCGCCTCGAGTTTGTCTGCCGCGAGATTCGAATTGGCCTGATCAACAAGCGATTGAATGTGGTCGATGCCGATGACCTTGGCGGTACCTCCTGCGGTAAGGTGGTGAAAGATCGCCAGGGTGTAGCCCGAGCCCGAGCCGACGTCGAGCACCTTGGCGGCAGGATGGAGGAAGGGCAGTAGATTCTCGGCAGCGTGCGCATGCATGTGAGGTGCCGAGATGGTCGCGCCGCATCCGATCGTCTGGGGCGAGTCTTGATACGCCTGTCGACGAGAGGGCACATAGTTGGCGCGGTCCACTTTCGCCATGGCATCTGCAATGCGTGGCGAGCTGATCAGCGATGCATTGCGCATGTTTGTGATCAGCTCGGCATTCGATGCGCCCGAGCAGCGCCAAGCCATGTTGAGAAGTCCAAGAAATATTGTACTACTTTAGGACCTGATTGGGGTAACAGGGATTGAGAGTCAAGTATTAAGTCAGTGATAGAATCGAGGGCGGTCGATACCAGGTGGTTGTAGGGTGAAGAGGAAGAGGGAGCTCCTGTCTAGCGCCTGAAAGGCAAAGGCGTGGCGTGTGCGCAGCTGCGCCTCCACTTGCTGCGAGGATCTCCAGCCAAGTCCGCTAAAAGGACGACGATCAGCCAACAACGTTGCAGCGCCTCGAGAGCTCAGGTGATTCATCGGTTGATCCGACTCCTTTCGTTCCCGTTGCTGCGTCATGCCGTCTCATCACCGCATGTGACCTTGACCAGGCGGCGATGCCTGCGCAAGCTAGCCAAAGGACGCCATCGATGGAGCTGAGACTCATTTACGAGCCTGGCTGGCGACTGGCCAACTCATGCAGGGTCCAATCTCAAGCCAGCCGCAGTGGCTAAAAATCCAACACGCTCCGGTGTGCCCCTCCACGCGACCCGGTCCGCCTGGGAAAAGCCGCGCTATCTCCGATCCCACGCCATGCGCAACACCCGCCCCCACCAACCTTCTCTGTGTAGTCTGCTGCATCGACACTCTGGCACACGGCGCTCGGCTCCAACAAGACTGGATGCTGGTGGTAGAAGTACATGAAGGGCGAACAGAGCTTTCTAAGGGGGAAGTCCTACTTGGCAACAACCTTATCATATGTGGTTCCCTCTGTAGTAGCAGGACAGCGGGGAAAGAGCGTCGATGCGGTGTGAGTAGAGGGATTCCTTGCGGACACGTGTGAAGCGCGGACTGCTCGAACTTACTGATCGCTCCGCCGCCAAGGCTGCGTTTGACGTTGCTGGCAAACACCGATCGATCCTTGCGCAGGTCCTCGGCCGCCTCTGTGATCGTCAACGCCGTGGTCAGGAAGTGTCAGCTATCGTAAACAAAACAGGAAGCATGGCAAACGTGCGCATCTGTTTGAGCGCACCTTTGTTGAGTGGATCGTCGGCGTTAGGTTCGAGGAAGAGGTACTGCAGACCGACCATGACCGAGTTGAGGTTGAGCACGGGCTTCCAGTCTTCGCGCAGGATGTTGAGGCACACATTGCCTTCCAAGTCGACGTTCGGGTGGTAGATCTGCGAGAGACATTAACCTCAAGCGTCAGCGTGACGCGCATTCAGCAGTACGAGTCTGGCAAGCGCACCTTTTGCGTGCACTTGACCTTGGGCGGGTCGTGCGGGTAGTTGTTGTTGATGGCAAAGGTAAACTTGAACGAGCCGGCCTTGTACATTCCTGCGATCAGAGATGCGCCGAGGCGATGGTCAGCTGGGAGCTTCTTTGATTGGGATGTTCCAAGTGCACTCACCCTCGTCGGGCTCAATGGTGAGGGTAAAGTTGAGCACGTCTGCTGGATCTGGGAAGTCCGTCTTCATGGTCTTTGGCAGCTCCAGCTCGGTCAGGTCTGGCAGCATCGAAAAGAGAGTCGTCAGTCCCGGATCAGCCTCTGCGCGGAGGAAGAAAGCTCCGGACTACTTACCCTTCTGGACGCGAAGCTGTGCGGGCGAGGTCTTGGGCTTCTTCTTCTTTGCCGACTCCTCCTCCTTCTTCATGCTCCAGATCTACCGCGGCAGGCCAAACAAGGGGCACGTCGTCAGTGGCGGCTGGTTCCGATAGCCAATGGCAAAGGTTGAGAAGCTTACCTTGATCATGATGGGCGACTTCCACGCAAGCGCGCTGCCCTCCGTATCGATTCGCTTTCAGCTGCGCAGTCGAGGAGAAGATCACGCCTCGGTCCACGGTCGAGTCGCGTTTCTGTGGAAGAGCGAAGTTCGAGGCAGCCTGACCTGGTCAAGATGCAAAGCGTGCTAAGAGTATTGCGTGATGAAGATGATCCGTCGGTGATGTTCCGATAAGGAAGCGGTCTGGGGAGAGGAGGAGGGAAGTAGTGGTTGGCAAAGGTGGAGCGGAAATGCACTTGCCACTGCATCTGGCTTTCACCGATCGGATCCGCCGATCTTTGCCCTGGCCTGCAGCGAGCAGCGCCGAAATTGCCGCCAGCTGCTCCCACGCTTCAACTCAGCAAAGAGCTTCTTCTCTCTCGGCACGCACCGCGTGTGATTTCCACGAGGTGGAGGTGTGCTTCATGTTCATGCAGCTCAGAGCACCGTCGGCCTCCGAAACACACAAACACGCACACACAGCACCCATGTCGCTGCAACGCAAGATCTGGACGACAACCATCACTCCCTCCTCTTCTGTTACGCTCTGCTAGCTGCCATGCCGCGCCTGCCGTCGTCGGCGTCGAGCTCGGACGCTGGACACACTTCGTCAACGTATGCGGCGCCCGTCCCTTCGCAACCAAGCGCGCTGGACGACCGAAAGATCAGCATCCTCACGCTGAACGTATGGGGGCTCAACTACATCTCGAAGCTGCGCATCGCGCGCATCAAGGCCATCGCCTCGCACCTCACCGCGCCCTCCACACCGCACTACGACTTTGTGTGTCTGCAGGAGATCTGGTACGAGTCCAAGGACTGGCGCTTTCTGCGGCACGCGCTCGCCGCACGCTATCCTCACTCCAAGTTCTTCTACTCGGGTGCCTTTGGCTCGGGTCTCGCCATCCTCTCGCGTTGGGAGATCATCGAGACGCGCACGCATCCCTACTCGCTCAACGGGCAGCCCATCCACGTGCACCACGGCGACTGGTTCGTCGGCAAGGCGTGTGGTGCCATCACCATCGACCATCCGAGGCTAGGCATGCTCGATGTGTGGAACACGCATTTCGTCGCGGCAGGAGGCGAGGATGGGCCCGAACATCGAAGGTCGCATCGCATCATCCAGGCGTACGAGTTCGCGTCGCTGTGCAGGAACAGTGCTGCGCAGGGGAGGCACGTTGTGTGCGTGGGCGACCTCAACTCGACGCCGCCGTCGCTGGCGATTGGCCTGCTCAAACACGTCGGAGGGATGTACGACAGCTTCCTCGACTCGCACCCACAGCTACCCGAGCATGCTACGTCGCTCGACGCGGAGGCGCCACCGCCTGGGCTGGGCCGGCGCGGCTCTGCGGCGGCGGGGCCGGATCCGCAGAGGGCGATTGACGAGCTCGGCGTCACGTGCGACTCGCCGCTCAACACCTGGACGGCAGGCAAGAAGCTCGATGCGCGCGCCACGCGCGGTGCCGGTAAGCGCCTCGATTACATCCTCTACCGCGGCCCTATCGTCCGCCCCGAAGCTTCTGCGCTCGCGCACAGTGCGTCTGCCTCGTCACGTGGCCGTCTCAGCTGCGCTTCTTCCTCGGTGGTGTTCACCCACCGCGTGCCCGGTGTCGAATGCTCGTATTCGGACCACTTTGGCGTCGAGTCGGTATTCAGCATCGCAGAAGACGCCGACGCAGCGTCGGTGCAAGGAGGTGGACGGGTGGACCAGGCGCGTGTGCTCGGTGCGGCGCTTAGCGCGTTAGCGGGAGGCTTTAGCGCCAGCCGCGCCACGCAGACGAGCCACTTTTACGCGTTTGGCGCAGCGCTGTTGTTGGCGGTGGCGCTGATCGTGGCGAGCATCTTCCAGCCGCTCGCGGGCGTCAATCCGCTCTTTGTACTGCTCGCCGTCGTTGCCGGCTGGGCAGGCACCACCATGCTCTACAGCGCAGTCGTCTGGGGCGAGTGGGAAAAACGTAAGTCTCGTCCAAGCTCTCTTCCTGTTCCTTCTTTCAACCGGTGGGCTTAGCACTGACAGCATTGTGCGCGTTTGAACAGGAACACTGCGAACCGTCATGGAGACGCTTGAACTGGAAATCGGCCATCTGCGTCGCGGCATCCACGCCAACACCAGTGCCGGTGCCGGTGCCGGTGCCGGTGCCGGTGCCAGTACTGCCGCCGCTGGAGCTGTGCCCGAAGCCGTTCGCGAAGGACCTCTGTTCTAACCTCATTCGCATCTTTGGTCAAGGGAATGGATAGATAGTCTAGAATTGCCTGCTCCTGCCAAGTGCTCATGCTGTGATGACCGGCTGGCTTGTGTCGGTAGGATGACGTGGTGTGGTGGGTGTGGTTGCTGAGGGTTGGTGCGAGTGGGTAGGCAGTGCGCCATTGGTGTTGATCGTGAGTGCGGCTTGCGAGGCGGGCGTGGATGCGGACCATCGCGTAGTGCGCGCGCCTGCAGGCCAGCTCGTCCTGTCCGTTCCGGCAATCAGCGATGCCACTACACTCGTGGGCCTCTTGGGCATGGGCCGTGTAAATATATCGATGGCGGCGTTCTTGCGCACCACCGCCACCTTGTCCGGTCCAAATCGAAGTCCCACTGGAATCTCGCCATCCACCTCCACCGTCACCACCGGCTGAAGGATGGCCACCTCGGAGCGGGGCAGTGCAGGATGGCGGATGGTATCGTCGGTGACTGCGGTGCGGTCGTAGCCAAGCCCAACGCCTGCACTCGTGCTCATGCGGCGCGCGTTGAGCACCGACCCCGGAGATCGCATCGAGGAAGCGCCGTGCTTGTCCACCAGCGAGTACGTCGAGCCGAGCCCGACCGAGCTGCGTCGTGGCCCCACGCCGTGCGGCGCGTGTGTCTTGGGTCGATTCAGCGCGGCGCTCGAAAAGTCCCAGAAGATCATCTTGCAGTCTTCACCCACCGAGGCGAATCGATAGGTGCGGTCATCCGAAGACCACCGCCATGGATCCCAAGCCAGCGCCGACACAAACGACGTGTGTCCCTGGCAGCGCGCCACGATCCTGCCTTCCCTGGGCGCCCAAACGGTGACGAGATCGTCCTGTCCGCCCGTGAGCACAAATTTGCCGTCGGGCGACCAGGCGACACAGTGGAAGCCGCCAAAGTACGACTCAAAGGTGTCGAGCAGGCGCTCGGCGTTGAGATCGGAGATGCGCAGGATGCCGTCGTCGGCGACGAGCGCCACGTGCGAGTAGTCGGGCGAAAAGGCAAAGTCGGTGATGCGCGTCTTGGCGACGGCCCAGTGCGAGACCGGATTGAGTCGCGCCCACGAGGTCTCTTTTCCCTTGCCCGAGAGTCCGTTGCCGTTGGAGCCGGCGTTGGCGGCTGCTACCGCCGCTGCCGCTGCGGCCTGCTGGTATTCTCGCGAATGCAAGGCAGCGCCCGAGGGCAAGCCGGAGGCAATGGGCACGGAGCCTGGCTTGGTGACTAGTAGCAGAGGCTGACCCGAGGAGGAGGGATCGGCGGCCTGACGGCGCTGCGATAGTGTGCCGGCTGGGGTGTGTGATTTGGGTTTTGACAGGTGGGTGGCGCTGCCGCTGCTCGAGGAGACGGCGGCTCCTTCGGCCGCATCGTTGTGGGTGGTGGTGGTGGCGTGTGTGGAGCTGGTGACGGTGCGCGAGCCAAGTACGGGACGCGAGTCGGTGATGCTGCTGCCGAGGCCATTCGTCGACGGGCCGGTGGCCGAGTTGGAGGCGAAGGAGGCGTTGGAGGCCGAGGTCTGGCTGGCGGACATGGGTGCGGAGGAGGGCGCGGTGGAGGCAGCAGCTACGGCGGACTGGAGTGCAGCGCTGGAGGAGGAGGCGGTGCTGTCGCCGGCAAAGGCGTCCCAGGTGGCGGGGGAAAAGTCGCTCGAGTCCTCGCGCTCGCGGTCGTAGATGAGGACGGAGCCGTCTGCGTGCGCAGCCATGATGAGGTTCTCGCTTCCAGGCAGCCAGCGGAGTTGGGTGACGGCGGAGCTGGTGATGCAGCCGCTCTTGTTGATGCGGGTGTACCTGGAAGCGATGGGGTCGAGCCAGATGATGTCGCCGGTGACAAAGCCGATGACGATGTCGAGACGGTCGTGGGCGCGGGTAAAGTGGTTGACGTCGTGGGCGGATGGGGAAGCGCTGAAGGTGATGCGAGCGAGGCTCTCCTTTGTCCTGCCGTTGGTGTCTGCGAGCCAGAAGAAGGAGCGGGCGTTGGTGAGGAAGGTGAAGTGCTCCGAGTCGGAGCGGGCAGCGAGGATCTTTGCGAGATCCGGATGGGTCATCATGCGATTGACAAAGTTGCTCGAGGTGTTTTTGAGGCTGTTCTTGGGACGCGACGGTTTTGGGCTGAGCTTGCCCATGGATTCGCCGAGGCCGGCAAAGCCCATGCCAGCGCCGCCGATGCCGGCGATGCCTGCCAAGGGGCCGGAGCTTCCTGGAGGCAGGCCGCCGGTCAAGCTGGATGATGGAGCATCGATGCCCTGTGAGGCGAGTGGCGCTTCGAGAAGGACGGCGCGTGCAGACGAGGCGACAGCATCTGCGGCAGCGTTCGAGTCGGCGCCCTTTGCGTTTTTAGAGGAGACGGGATAGCGGAGGCTGACGGTGGAGACGCGTGGGGTGGGGTAGACTGCAGACAGAGCGAGCTGCGTGGTGGGTACGGGGTTGAGGTGGATCATGGGCTGCGGTGGAGGGGTGAAGCGGGAGGTGCAGACATACATGCCCTCGGGCGCATCGAAGGACTCGGTGGACATGACGGCAGCGGTGGGAGCGGCCGGCTGTGCAGAGACGAGTGTCGTACCGCCAGGCAAAGGCCGGATGGTGGACGGCGGAAAGACCATAGGGTAGGACATGACGAACCGAGCGTATGCTGCTAAGGCAGCGCTGCGTTGATGGTGGTGTCGGTGGGAGTGAGAGAGCAAAGGCCAGAGCCAAAGTCAAAGTGCATCCGGGCTATGCCGATCGAGGTAGGATGTGCGGGGTTGACGTGATCGGCGTCCGAATGACCAGGAATCCAGGGATCGAGGCGAGGGAGCGAGGAGGCCAGTTAGGAAGGTAGGCAAAGAAGGAGGGAGGGGGTGAGGGTCGCGGATTGATTTCGGTTTGGCCGGTGCGTCGAGCGGAGGTGGGCGTGGCGTGGGTCCGAAGGGGCCGGAGAGGCCCAGGGTGCCTGACCTGAGATTGCGTCTCACTTCTGGCTCAATTTGTCTTGGGATCACCGCCACGCGGAGGAGCCGAGCAGCAGGACTCGAGCTATGAAGCCATGGAAGCACCTCCCAAAAGTCTGGGGTGCGCAAGGGAGTGCGGAACCAGCCGAAGCTCACTCAGGCTCTGCGCACAGACGGGGCTTGGGCCCAAGAGGGAGACGGCGCAGGAAAGCTCCCGCGTCGAGCCCAGTCGGAGCGCCAAATTGCGAGCCGTCGTTGCTGGGGCTCTCTCGGTTGGGTCTCGCACTTGCCTCGCTCCATCGTGGGCTCGGCCTGCTTCTGACTCTGAGATGGCATCCCACGATGCACACCAACGGCTCTCCCACGTCACTCGACCGACGCGATGTAGCTCTCGGCTGTGCCGATCCGGTCTGCAGGTCGCTGCAGAGGCGCAACAGAGTCAAAGCGGCTGCAGAGCCAAGGCGCGGCTCGACTCCACATGACACGCTTCAGTCTGTCGGCAACCCGCAGACGAGATTCTTGAGTTGTTAGGCCTTATTTCTAACAAATGGAAACAATTTCGGCTCGGCCGCCCAACACTTTCTCGACGTCACGCCGAGCGACCAGAGAGATGCACACACACCCACGCGCGGTTGGGCCAACACACTTCCTCCTCACCATCTCCCCTCACCCATCGACACGCACCTGGCGGTATCGGCTCATACTTCTCATCACACGGCTTGGAGAGTCGGCGCCATGTCTACTGGCATCGACGACAACGCGGCTCCGGCCTCGTCCAGTCGCCATGCCGCCTCGTCTTCAATACCCAATGCCGCCCATCACGAGCAGGCCTCGTCGCTTCGCAACGGTATCGCTAGCCCGCAGAGCCCCGGATCAGAAGCAGACTCGACCATCAACAGCACTGCCTTCGCTCCAAGCATTCTCGCTTCGCGTCTAGGTAGGAGCATCTACTCCTCGACGGCCGCAGCTGGCTCCTCGCTCAGCCTCGTCGGCTCAGGTGTCAATTCGCCCGCGCTCGCCCTCACCGGTTTCAACGCCGTGTCTACCGTGCTCAACAACCCCTCCAAGCGCCAGCATCCCATCGATCCTAAATCCTCCCGCTTCCCTCCCGTCGCATCTAGCCACGTCCCCGCCGACATCCCCAAGGTCAAGAAGGCCGAGCTCGAGCCCTACCTCTCCACCGTCAGGCCAGAATGGGATCGTTTCATGCGCAATCAGAGCATGGGAAGGCAAGGAAAAGCCACGTTGGAGCAGCAACAGCAGCAGCTACGCTCCCAAGAATCGAGCCACGATTCGGAACCACTCGGCAAATCCGACCGCCGTCACCGTGCCACGCCGAGCATCGCCTCCCTCTCTGCCGACCTCCAGGCCGTCCCACCACCACAGGCTCGCAAGCGCCTCCCCAACCTGAGTGCAGTGCCGCAGATCTTCTTTGCCGAAGATTTTGACCTCGCGAACCCGTACACCTTCGACCAGGTCACCGAACGATACAAGGCCACCTCCACCTCCTCGCCCGCACACCCCGACGGCACCTCCGCACCCACCTACGACGTCGCACTCAACCAGATGCTCCAGGAAAAGCTCAGCTACTACTCGGACGTAGTCGAGCAGCACCTCATCATCGAAATCGGTCAGCAATCCTCCTCCTTCTTTGCCGCGCTCGAGAATCTCAACGATCTCAACGCAGAAGCAGAGAGTTGCCTGACCAAGATCCACGCGCTCAACTCCGACCTCGACCACATCGACGTCAACCAAGCACGCAAGGGCCTCGAGGTCATCCGACACCAGCACCGCCGCCGCCAGCTCGAACACCAACAGTCCGCCGTCGTCGACGTGCGTCACATCGTCGAGCGACGCGATCTCGTTCGCCTCCTCCTCCAACAGGGCGAGACAGAAGAGGCACTCGAGATTCTCAACGCTCTCCGATCCGCCTTGCGGCCAAATGTCAGCGATGCGCGCGAGCCAGAAAACAGCCTTGCCACACCTCAAAGCGCCGACCAAGATCAGACCGGCATCGATTTCACAAGGCTCGGCTGCCTCGCTTCGCTCCCCGACGAGCTCCAACA